GTTATAATCCGTTGTTTCCTGTGCAAATACCGTTGTCCGTTAGCCGTTGTCCTTTTATAAATATTTCGCAGGAAAAGCCTCCGAATTCCAGTAGAGAAAGTCGTAAATTGTATTCCAGCCTCCCAAGAGGATAGATTTTATTGCTACTATGGACTTATACAAAATGTGGACAAAAAATACCCCAAAAGTTAACTTTTTGACGTAATTGAGTATTAAAGGAGATGTAAAAAATTGGAACAGACTTACCATGAACTAATCCAACCAGGTCTAGACCTAAATAAGGCATTCTAGATCTAACATATGAAATCTTAGAACTAATTTAGTACATATATGTACTAAACTAGAAAAGTTTAGCTTTAGTTGTTGCTTTCTTTCTACGACTTTCTACAAAGTGAATAACACAAAACGTGAACCTTTGTTTTGGATGCAAAAGTTCATATATTGCATTTCCATTCATAGTAATTAGGGGTACAATCATTTTTGAATGACAGTTTGTGGCATATTGAGCCTGGTTCTTAGCCAATCACTGGAAATAGTACAAGCTTGTTTACTGATTAGCAGTGAACGTATATAGTCAAGAGCATATCGGGAAAAGATTGGATTAGGCTACTGGTGTTGCTTCTGCTCACCTTAAGCGACCTTCCTGATTACATGATGGCTGAGTTGGTGACAATGGAAGTAGATGGTATTGCTTCCACACTTACCTTAAGCGACTCCTCCACTTCCACGCCCGCCACTTGATAGCTGGGTTAGTGACACTAGAGGAGGATACAGTGTTGGTGGTACCGGCTAATTTAACTCCATTTACCTATTTAGAGTTAAATTAGCCTTCTTAAATGAACTGTTGGCAATTTATTTTTAGCCTTTGTGGTGTTTTGGTGAAGCTTTATTGATGTGGTGTTGACGCTTGTACAGTGATTTATTGACGCTTTTATAGTGTTTTATTGACTTTGTTGTGGAGTTTTATTGGTGATTTTGTGGCGTTTTATTGATGCTGTTGCGGTATTTTATTGATGCTTTTGTGTGGATTTTATTTGTTGTTGCTTTTTGCTTTTGCTTTTGTTGTTTTATTTATATTGTTTTATTATTTGAAGGCTATTGGATCTTGTACTGCTGTAAAGGGGTTGTTGTTCTGAACTTACGATGCTACAGTTAGCATACATTATTTTGTTGTGGGCCGCAATATTTCAGGAAATTGTGGAAGGGAAGGGAAGGGAAGGGAAGGGAAGGGAAGGGAAGGGAATTATCAGGGTGAAAGCGCCAAGCCATTACGACTATATAGCACTTGGATGGGATCAAGATAAGAATTTGGGATGGGATATATTAAGAAAAGAAAATAACAAAGCGCTTACAGCGTTGAATATTATAACGTTCAATACAACATAAAGTGACAACAAAATTATCACTGAACAAAACATGAGGCGACAACAATATTACGATTCTCCTTGTGAGGATTTCATCTGTTGATGGACGTATTGTCTTCTGACGTTTCCCCTTCAGTAGGTGACTTATGTTTAATTTATGTAAATCAGAATAGTATATATGTTTAACTTTAAATACTTTACTTATATTAAAGTAAATAAAACCCACCAGACGTCCATATCAACGCGCTCTACATCGAGATAATGAACTAAATGATGCCCGAAGCAAATATTCATAGTTTTCCAAACCAAAAATGGCGACATCTGTGTAAAAAAGATATATACGTTTTACGAGATGGTTTAAAGTCAGGAGGTCGTTGGCTCTCTCTCTCTCTCTCTCTCTCTCTCTCTCTCTCTCTCTCTCTCTCTCTCTCTCTCTCTCTCTCTCTCTCTCTCTCTCTCTCTCTCTCTCTCTCTCTCTCTCTCTCTCTCTCTCTCTCTCTCTCTCTCTCTCTCTCTCTCTCTCTCTCTCTCTCTCGTACATCATACTACTTGAACATCTAGCCGGTACTGTCCTAGACGAAAATAAACAAATTCATGGAGTTACGATAAAAAATAAATATTTTCAGCAATCCATGTCCATAAATTTAGTTAAAAAGTGATGGAAAGGGATTACGGATAAGGAGGTGATGAACGGCACAAAAGGGAGAAAGGACACGAGGGAGAAGAGGTTATACTGCGAGAGAAGGCCAGATGTCTAGGGGAAAAGAAAGGTGGGGGGGGGGGGGGAGGGGAAGGGAATGCGGTAGCTCCAGTGAGGTTGAAGAGGTCGCCTGCGTGAGGTGAATAATCAATTTGTCGCAGATTAGCAGTGATCAAATCCACAAGGGCCGTGACGAGGATTCGAACCTACGTCCGAGATCATCCCAGACGCTGCCTTGAACGACTGCGCTACGACATGGTCAAAAAGAGTTGAAACCAGAAGTTGTACCTAACTTACTTGATTTTAGTGTGTACTGGCAGTGATGTTCGGTGCGCGACGGGAAAGTAGAGTCAGTTTGTGTGTGTTGCGACTGATCCACGACAACACCAATGCAACACATGAGCACACTGCCAGCGCCAAACTACTTATCATAAAACCGTGCATACAATAGCCGTATTACCTGCAATAATTTGACAACAACATCGCAGATCCAGGAACTGAAGGTCAATTCTTGGAAATACAGAAAGGTGAGTATAATAACACTACAACATGTTTTTTTTTAATTACCAAGCTTAGGTAGTTTGATGAACGACTTGCGGGTATGTATTTACCTGGATATGTTTGATGGTATTGAGCTTCTGCTCTCAGAGTGCCGAGTTTTCAGTTGTCTGTTGTGTTCCAAGGTATCCAGAGTCTCTTGTCTTTGCTCATAACTACTTTTGAAACTGTGGAGAGTCAGCCTCAACTAATTTATCTTCAGAATAACTTCACTTAACACACATGACAGTGATATATCTCCCACGGGAGATATCTCCCGTGGGAGATATGTCCTGTGGGAGATATCTCCCGTGGGAGATATGTCCTGTGGGAGATATCTCCCGTGGGAGGTACCTGTGCTTTACAAAAGCTGCTCAGGAGGAACGTGTATCGCCAAACAAGAAAACGTGTATAAGCTTCCTTGACCAATGGCCTGCGAGCGGTGTGCGTGATCAGATCATGATTTTCACCAAGATATTTAACATTTAATTCTTTACATTTCGTTCACCGAATTTTTATATATTTATACAAGATGCGGAATCCCGCTGTGCCCGGGTCTATACCCCCCCCCATCTCTATCTCCCCTTCCCCTCTCCCTCTTTATCTATCCCCCCACTTTGCTCTCCTTTAACATTCCCCTCTCCTCGTTTCCTTCCCTCTCCCTCGATCTCTTATCTCTCTTCGCCTTAATCTCTTCAACTCTCTCACCTCCTTTCCTTCCTTCTCCATCCTCTCTTCTCTTCTTTCACTTTTTCCCCTCTCCTTCTCTCTCCACTTTTCTTTCCCCATATTTATTTATTTATATACAAGAAGGCAGCGTTTCGGGCAGGTCCTTAATCTAACAGATAATTTTAAGTAGGTAAATTCTAGCGGAATTAATAAAATGATAAAAGATACATTGCAAGAAAGAAAAAAATGAGATGAGAGAGATTAGTAGGTATATTAAAGCACATTGGTATCTTAAAGCTTATTATTAAATTAGTATATTAAATATATTATATATATATATTTTAAATATATTAGTATATTAAAGACTGATTGCATTGACAGCTTGATTGGTAATTTAAACAAAGATTAATAGGCACCATACAGCAAATTGAAAGCACATATAAGAAGACAGCAATAATCACAATGGTAAAATTGTTTGGATTGGGTACATGAAGATTGGGAGATTGGGTAGTATTAAATACAGTGCCGAATATGGCTTCCCTCTCCCCCAAGACCCCCCCCATCCTCTCCCATCTCCTTCACTTCCTCTATTTCTCCTTTGTTCCCTGTCTCGTTCTCAGAAAATGTAACACAGTAACCCGAATGAATCACGTTCATCGTTTTCGAATAAACTATGGGAAACACTCGGCGGGTGAACCGATGTTTCATGTTGTAAAATTGGGTGAAACAAATGTTTGGGTCTCAGTTGTTTTACTTGTCCTTCCTCTTCTCTTCCTTTATACAATCTTTTTTTATTATTAATACATTAGGTACATCTGCATTAGTGCAGCTACCCTAGACTATATGAAGTGGAGTACAGTGTGTCAAAAAAGCTAACTACGTGATGCTATAAAATCCCCATCACACAGGATGGTTAGTCATACAGAGGCATGTGATAAGCAGTCTGCACTGGCAGACTCCGGAAGCATTTTGAGGATATCATCAACACAAGATTGAATAAGGTAGCAGTGGTAATAAAAGTACAATCTTGCTTCTTTTCGTAAACAATTCTACGTTAATCACACGCCATATTACACACTTTACTCCATGAAAATGGCCCAGGGGTTTTGAATGAAACTTTGCCAAAGGTTTCGGTCTGGTCGGGAATTGAGCGCAGACAAGCAAGTTGTGAGCCGACTGCGCTAACTTCCACGCAACGACAGATGGGACCATAGATGGGAGAGGTCGAGGATCTTTAGGTTATCTTGAGATGATTTCGGGGCTTAGCGTCTCCGCGGCCCGGTCCTCGACCAGGCCTCCTTTTTGTTACACCCCCCCCAGGAAGCAGCTCGTAGCAGCTGTCTAACTCCCAGGTACCTATTTACTGCTAGGTGAACAGGAGCATCAGGATGAAAGAAACATTTTGCCCATTTGTCTCGGCCTCCACCGGGAATCGAACCCTGAACCTCAGGACTACGAATCCAAAGCGCTGTCCACTCAGCTGTCAGGGTGGTGCCCATGGAGAAATTAAAGACAGCTAATTGAAAATCCCAAGCATGAGGGGCTTGCACACCAAGGGATCAAATATTATCTTTCTTATTAGCTATCTGTAGCATTGTTGAGGCAATATTCTCCACTATGGGATTAACAATCTGGGCCTGCATGTAATCATTTGGGGAAGCTGGTGGGATGAAGAGCCTCTCCTCACCTTACTGAAATCAAAGGTGTTCTACAAAATTATATAGCACATATATTTGTTTGCAATTTTATTGCTACAAAAATGTTTTACCGTAGTTGTATAACTGAAAGAAACCATTAGCAAGATGAGTAATTTGTAATTCCGAAGAAGATGCAGTAATATTCACTAGAAGAATACAGTATTTTGTTATAAATCAATATAAAATGAAGTTCGAAAAGAAATTGACATAATACTAAATAAGTCCTAATGAACTGAACATAGTTAACTGTAACTGACAAGCAAAATAACCACGGTTAAGCTTTTCCCCCCAAAAAACATACAAGTGACATATGCACCATGTTGCTCTTTTGAAACTTATCATCGGAGGGGTGATAATCTTGACAGAAGTTCTTTGGAGAGAAGTTGTCGTTCCCGCCTTGCGCCTCGCAGGACTGCCTTGTTCTCGTTGGCGCGCCGGGACAAATATGGTATCACCTCTAACATGCTTCCGGACGGTACTGACTTGTACACCAGAAACCCAGACGCAGCTGCAGTAGAAAAATTATGGTCTGAGCCCCTCCTGACATCATAGATCATTTGAACACTAATACTTCTGCTATGTATATTGCCTAATTGGTTTTGGTGGCGATGAGTCAAAGTAACGTGGCTGAAGAATGTTGACCAGACTACACACTAGAAGGTGAAGGGACGACGATGTTTCGGTCCGTCCTGGACCATTCTCAAGTCGACAATCGACTTGAGAATGGTCCAGGACGGACCGAAACGTCGTCGTCCCTTCACCTTCTAGTGTGTGGTCTGGTCAACAATTGATTTTGGTGTTGGGGTTAGGACCTAAGAACTGCGGAAAAGTTATTAGAAAAGTTAAGACCGTGACACTAGCTTACTGCCCAGCCACCCAATGGGCATAATATTCAAGTGTAATGTTAATTTAACGTTATAATGCGCTCTCTGAGCAACAAGTGTACTTTAGTCCAGAACATAGTTCATGTCCAAAATATTTTCTCTGTGTATTTTCAGACTATTGAAAAACACCTCTCGGTGTTTATATTTCCGTGTTTACATAGCTACGCCTAGGTTTGATTTCATTTGTAATCATTTGAAATTATATTTACTAATAAGTTGTTGACAAATGTTCGTTACTCCAACAGCCGCCCCCTCCACATTCTTTAAGAATGATAAACACTTAACTCGCAACTGATTACGTATCACATGTTTTCGAACAGCTCGAAGTGGCTCACTTCTGATGTTCGAAGCACACGACGTCAGACACTAAAAATGGCGTTAAACAATTGATATGCATTTTTATGAGTTATGTGGGATTCGAACATGTGGGAAATCACATGTCCTTAGTTCGGGTATTGCAGAACTTAAACAATATATATTTATTCATCACCTTTTCTTCCACAATGAACAACACTCATAAGATACCGACCTAGGGGCACGGAGATATTCTCAGCCATGCCGTACACCTGACCGAACACTACATTGCCCGCCCGGAATTCGATATCCAGCAGCTCGATTCTGGCGACAGCTTGCTGAACTGAAGCTTCGTTGTGCGTTGCAATCACTACAGCGCGCGTGTCAGGGTTCTTCACGACTTCTTGCAACATCACCTCCACCATGCTGCAAACAATTATGCAACAGTAATTAGGCTTCGCATATTTTGTCAAGAAAGCGGTGTGATTGGTTGACTCATCTAAAGACTATGTTTCTATTGGTTTGTTATTAATTGTCAGTATTTTCAAAACTTTTAACCATATATCGAATTTTGGACAGCAGTTTCCGTATATAGTGTTAAGTTTTGTTATTGACATAATGTAAATAAACGTATTATTTGTTTTTATTTTATAAATTATATAAGTTGGGATTGTCATGTGACTAAATTATATTGAGACAACTGTTAAAAGCTTCATTCAGTGACAGGAAGAAGCAATGAGGGAATGAGTGGGCCAGCTACACCATCCACTGCCAGGTGGCGTTATTATTCCTCCGTGTCCTTGTGTGTACACCTTGAAGACGACAAAGCATCATTTGCACTGTACGGCTACCAAACTACTGTCCATCGCAACGTGACTGACCTATCATACACGATGGAAGTATCCTCATAGGTGTCGTTGACAGGATCAGGATAGGCTTCCAGGAGCGCCAGAGATCTCTCCCGCTCTAGGTAGGCTCCACGGACCAGCTTGGCGCCGAATCCGACATCGGGACCCAGCGCCCTCACCAGCTCCAGGTCGTGCTCCAGGCTCTGGCACCCTGCCTGTCGTGTGTTATTATGCTTAGGAGCAATTTACGTTTGAAACGACATATACAGTGCAATTGTTAAGTGTTAATTACGTTGTAGAAAATTATAGATTTTATAAATCGGCTAAAGTTTCATAGTTGGGGAAAAGGAAACTTTATGACAAGAAGATATTAAATACGTCCTCGACGCCCAAGGTCATCCTATCCTTCAAGTGTAACGGTCAGCTGAACAAGGAGGCCTCTCCTTCCACTTCCTCCCCTTGTCCCTGAGGACCCAGAAACGGAAAACGCAACATCACGTCAATTTCGCGCGCCACTACCATTATTTTGGCTACATTAGTTTTTGGCCTTAGGTAAAGTATAATTCAAAATGCTATGTGCTATTAGAAGAACGGGTTGTTACCCTCCTGGTGACCATCCTTGTCTCGCTCGCTCTCACTCCCTGTCCGAGTCTATGGAGTCTATCACACAATACTTGGAAACTACAGTCTTTGTGGTCCGGTCAGAACCGTAGTTACTCTTATTCTTCCTTTCCGAAATGAGAAAGGACTCATTCCTCACCTTGATTACCTCCTCCGACCTAGTTCCTCCGTCTCCTCCCATCTCGGTAGTGGAGTCGGCTGACTTTTCAGTGGGATCAGCTTCATAAAAAAATAATAATAAATGAACTAAATCAGATCACCAGGGTGTGCCGCCCACAACAGTGATCCCACATGGTATGATGGTAACAGTTACAAAATGGGTCCCGACAAAATTTGGAATTAGGAGTGCAAACGGAGTGCAAGCGCAATTTTGGGTAAGTTACTCAACACGTCATATGACGTGTTGCGCAGTTTAAAGGTTAAGTACCTTGAGATATCCTTGGTAGGTGTTCCAGATGACGGGTGTGGGAGTGTTGAAGACCGCCATCATGGCGAGCGTGAGCAGGTTAATGGCGGGGTTGGTGTACGTGTACTCGGCGTCCACTGCCAGAACCACACCGGCGCTGCAACACCGCTCCCCTGTACCAGCCACAGATACATTAATTTATTAATTTGCAAAGAAAATTATGAATTTCTGTATGACCATGATTGCTTTGACTGTAAAATTAAATAGTTTCTCTATAGTAAGATTAAGATAAAGTTGTCTTGTCTACAGAGTCAAAATTTTCAATGAGGATATTTGCGTCACCGGCTGATAGTCGAGATACTCCACAAATAGTGTTTTTATATTGTATTTTATTAAATAAAGATAAAAAAAATAGCGTTCTGACTTAGTGTTATAGTCGGGCTTACTTAAACTCGTCAAATAAATAATACTATAATTTGCATTTACAGTTAATTTAAGGTATCCAATACCATCCAATTTATATCCCTGATATTTACGACCTCCAAGTATACTGTGGCGCTATCTTTAGAAGAATAGCTGATACAAATTTTGTTATGCGACCAAGGAATTATTGAAATGACAACTTATATGTATAATTTAACACTGTACCTAGCAAGTAGAGGCGCGAGAGTGAGTTGATGAGCTCCAAGGCATCAGAGTCCGTGAGGACCAGCGGTCTGAGTGCCTCTGTGGCACTTGAGGAGGACATAGGAGGACCTCCATCACCCCCAGCCACCACTAGTAACTTTGCCACGGCTGCCACCGCCGCTACCCGCTCCTCGACTCGTAAAGACTGGTAACTCGTTGACACTCTTGCCTGCAATACAGTAGTTAGGCCTTTAATTTACTGGATAAGGCAGGACTATACTGGTCGTGTATACAAGGGGCTTCATATTAAATACAATACTAATTATTCTGTTATATATGTACTGTATTTTCACGAATTAATTATTTTTATTATATTAATATTGCTTTTCTGTTATTATAGCGTTTTTATGTGGTAGGTGGAGCGAATAAACATGGATGTAAACATTTTTGAACGAAGCTTTGAAGAATCTTACTTTTAGCTGAAGATATGAATGGCAAGATTTTACCTAATTACTCGCAAAAATTAGGTGTATAATAAAATGTATGCTTTAAAAATAATTGATGTGTGGTTTGACAAAGAGAAGGAGAAATAATCACGAAAGAAACAACATTAAAAATTGAAATTTGCAACTTTTTAGCTTTCAAAGTTTAACTGGATGTACATCACAGAAAAGTAGTTCATCTTGTCTTTTATTCTTGACCTCAGGTAATTCTTGACTCGTCTTAGAGCAGAAAATGATCTTTCCACATTGCAGGAGGATGCACACAGGTGCATTTCTAACGTCAACTTATTGACGGAAAACTCGATGAGTTCAGATTTACCCATCGTCCAGGTGTTGACATTCAGAGATAGATTTCTGTATTCAATAATACTAAATTTACTCTGACGTTAAAACAAAAATTCAGAATCTAACCCTAAGGCGCACGGTTATTTAATTAAGCTGCCTCTATGTGTTTCCAGTTTGGCTAGACACAGAGCTTTAAGGCTTATTAGGTTAATAGTACCAGTATATCAGCTGAGAGATGGGCAGTAATCTTGGTCTGGCAGATGGGCCTAGCTCCTCCTAATGTGCAGTGTTGGCGACTCAGGTCAATTAAGTTCAACGTCTTGTTCAGATTTTTAACGTACATTTCTTGCCTGTGAACAACAATTTACATTAGGCTGGAACTATCTAACCTAAATTGTATTTTCTATTTAGGTTAGGTACAAATATTTTTCGAGTAAGGTAAATTGGGTTACATGTGTAGCTATTAAAATAGGTTATGTACTGTATAATTTGTTTAGAAGACGGACAGCAATGATGATTTAAACTGAATCAGTATACGGAAGATATTTTCTAGATTAATATTAAGTAATATATTCTAGAGTACGTTAAATATTAAAATATATTTAGACAAGGATAGACAAAAAAGGTTTAGATAAGACAAGTTTAAACAAATTTAATCAATTTACTATTTTTAAACTGAAATGTAAGTTTTGCTCAATATATTAGGCAATTTATTATAATTGATTAAGTTTATAATGAGCAAGTTTTAAGTAGCCTTGGATAAGTCAGACAAGCTTATTTTAGTCTGTTTTCGTTAGGGTTTATATAAGTCAAGGCTAGTCAAGTTTTATAAAAATTTGCTCGGCTAGTCAAGTTTTATACAAGTTTGCTAGGCTAGTCAAGTTTTATACAAGTTTATTAGGCTAGTCAAGTTTTATACAAGTTTGCTAGGCTAGTCAAGTTTAGCTTAGGGTTGTGGAAGCCAGATATAAACCAGTACACACCCACTATTTACGTGAGCTACACGGATATACACCAGACACTTACATATCATGTCCTTCTCCCACGTCGGTCTCCAGCATGGGCGCTACCATAAGCCTCACTCCCACGTCCGCCAGGCGGTTGCTGACGACGCTCAGCTCTTCCCCAGAGTCTCCGGCTACGAACTGGTTGTAAAAGGGCGCCACCAAGAACCTGAGCATCCTCTGCCCCAGCAGTCGCTCCCCTAGCGTCAGCAGCTGTGCCAGGTCATTTGGTGAGTAGAAGGCATTATGACATTATATGGGAGGCATTATATTATGGGAGGGAAGGCTGTATGGTGACTGGCATTACAGGGGCACCGAGCATAGGGTCTAATGCTTGAGAATAGTATCCCCTCTACGTCATCGCTACCCAATAAACAAACCCCTAACCGAACCTGATGCTATCTTTGTTTTCCAGGGGAAAGAGGTCATAGAGACTGCGCCCTCGTTGGATCTTGGGGGTATCTGAAGGAATTGGCACTTACCTACCAGTGCGTGCGTGGGTGAGGGGGAGATAAGTCCTGCAACATTCCATAACTATTGGTCAGCATTGAGATTTTAACATTGTTAACGTGACGCCAAAAATCTCTATATCAGAATGGAGTGCTGGCGATTCCCGGGCGAGACAGAAATGAATGGGCACGTTCCCATGCCTCTCTAAGCCAACCCCCTCTCATAACTTTCTATCCTGTTCTGCCCCATAATACTAGAAGGCGTGTCTTACAACAATGGCCGTGTCTGAGTAGGCTAGCCGTAGACGTTATTAAACAAATATTTAAGACGCCGTCCGAAATATTCACGTTGAAGGGCAATATATCTCAAACATAAAACTAAATAATTAAAAATGTAAGGTAATTGTAAACGAATATATATATTTCAAATATTTATGAAAATTTTCTAAGAATGCACCATATTAGGCTTTTCCTATGCAGGCGATGAGTCACAATATCGTGGCTAAAGTATGTTGACCAGACCACACACTAGAAGGTGAAGGGACGACGACGTTTCGGTCCGTCCTGGACCATTCTCAAGGCGACTGACAATCGACTTAAGAATGGTCCAGGACGGACCGAAACGTCGTCGTCCCTTCACCTTCTAGTGTGTGGTCTGGTCAAAATAGGCCTTCCCTAGCTTGGGCTCAGTGGTAAAAATGAAAATAATGACACTATGCAATCTGAAGCAGCGACAGTGACATTTACATTCTTGTTTTTTTGTTTTCGTCTTTGATAAGTGTGTGTTAACTCACCTAATTGTGCTTGCGGGGGTTAAGCTTCGGCCCTTTGGTCCCTCCTGTCAACTGGTGTACAGGTTTCTGAGCCTATTGGGCTCTATCATACCTGTGTTTGAAACTGTGTATGGTGTGTCTGTTGACACAGGTTGGGTACAAGAGTTGACCCCTGACCCCTATCAGCAAGCTGAGAGTTTCCCATTCCATAGTTAATAAAAGACTTTACCCCTACTAGCATTCTCTAGAACCCAACTCGCCAATTGGTTTACAACCAGGACCCCGTTTACTTTCTCCCTTACTTTGGGTTTATACGTATGAGTGTTTATACATATAAAAGCACACAAATGGAATGCATTAGGACGTGATGTGGTGGAGGTAGACTACATACACAGTTTCAAATGTAGATATGATAGAGCCCAATAGGCCCAGGTGGATATACAGCCCTACTCCTGTGCCAGGTTACTCCAGTACTGGATCACCATAGCACGTGCTACTTGGAACTTCTTGTTCCGAGTAGCTGAACCTAAAACAACATATGCTGAGGAATCTGTAAACCAGTTAATTGACAGTTGAGAGGCGGGGTCAAAAAGCCGAAGCTCAACCCCCGCAAGCACAACTAGGTGAATATTTATCCAATTGTAGCAAGTCGACCTTTGCAACCCGCTTCACACAATACAAATTATTTAAAAAAGTAACTCGCAACACTCGAGAACAGAGGCCACCTTGTAACTGTGTGAGACGAGAGGGTCCACTGCGCATGCGTACAACACCACCAGTCCTCGAATCAGCTCTCTGACAGTCTTATGCTGGAAAGCGGTCTTGTGGTCCCCGAAGTTCAATTGTGCTGCTGCCGGTTTGTTGCCTAAAATTGATTCTAATTATATTTATAATCGTAATAAAATTCAATTTAGATTTAGTGCTCAATGTTCTGTTTCATATAATTCACGAAGCTTTGCCGGAATTTTAATATATAAATTGTATGATATAGATTACAGTATATATATTGTTTATCAATATAAAAATATTATAAAGATGAAAAAAATTAATGTATTGATTAATTTGAAATAGAACTATGCAATTAAAGAAGTATTAGATCATCTGCTAAAACCTCAACTGACCATTGTCCTTCCGGCGTGGCTTTGTCTCTGAACCAATGGCCGGGACATCGAAGTGGGACAACCGCCGATGGAAGGTAAACAGAGAGCCTCTGCTACCACTTCGTGAAGGCAGCAGGCGTGGAGTGGCAAGCAAGCGTAAGGCGGGAACACACAGTCGAGATGGCATGAACATCTTGGAGACAGTGGCGGCTCTCAAAAGGTCACCCGCTGATGTGTGTGAGTGTAGGTTGGTTCAAGGACATCCGAGATGACTGGAATTCGATGTATTGATTTGGGGCTAGATGTGGGTTCCTCTGGTAATCAAACTCTTGGTGTATTTTTCGTGTCTAGCTGAATTTTATGGTATGTTTGTACTTCGTGGCTGTGAAAGAATACTTCAACGCTGCTTTCTCGTTTTAATTCATTCCTTTTTAAAGTTCGTGGTTGAGGAAACATTTACGTTGAGAATCAGAACGTATAAGAACATCAACTATATAATAATTGTTATTATTTGATACTATTAATTATACACCTGGTAAATTAGTGGGAGTTACATACAAAGACGCAGGATAGCTGTCTCTAACGTAGTCATTACATTAGTCTGCGATGCTGGGATTTCATTTACAAGGCATGTGCCAATGGATGAGAAGAAACTATTGAATTTAATAGTGGTGTCAGAGGCTGATAGCACTCCATCGTCACTGGCTAGCAATATTGGCTTATTAAAGTTATTCTTTGAACCTAAGTCATTTAAGCCAAGAGACAGTTATTTCAATAATTCTGATAAGTTTAGTGATCAAAGGTATAAGCATGTAAGAGTCTGTATACTACGGGCTCACTATAGCCCGTGCTACTTGGAACTTTGTTCTAGGTAGCAAATCTTTAACAACAACAACAGTCTGTATAGTTGAGGAAACTGGCAACTTAAGAGTTATGAGGCTGGTAAGGTCAATACTAAAATCACCTGTGGGTTGTTTGATTTATCTCTGACAAATCCATACATGTGACGCAATGAAATTATTTTGATAAATATTTCTATTAGAAGGCTTTTATCATTTATCAAATTTGTAACTTTATATTGTTAAAATTGCTAGTGGCAATAACCAGTTGGTTCTTTGTTAATTATGAATTAAAATCACTTTATAATTTATTCATTTTACCAAATATAATTATTTTAGTTCCGAATTGCAATTGTATTCGTCTGCTTGATTTACTAATCAAAAAAATTAGTTTTGAAATTCATATATCAGTAATAAAATCTTTCTAAAAATTATGTTTTAACATAGTTTGCGCAACTATTATACCTTAGTATATACAGCAATGTTCTCTATTACCAAATCAATATTCGTCTTTTCTACGTTTCTTAATCCTTGGATTTTTTTTATGTATACACTTTCCGTATTTCTTGAAACGATGACACCAAAGCCAGAAGTATCCAAAACGCGCATAACTGTATCACGTATTTTGTCAGTATTCTTGCATTAGTTTCATATATATATATATATATATATATATATATATATATATATATATATATATATATATATATATATATATATATATATATATATATATATATATATATATATATATATATATATATATATATATATATATATATATATATATATGACATTGTCAGACCACGGAGGAAAATGAAACAGGAATTTCCTTAAGTACTTTCGTATATTAAATGCATCTTCAGAAGGAATCCATTCCTTCTGAAGATGTATTTAATATACGAAAGTACTTAAGGAAATTCCTGTTTCATTTTCCTCCGTGGTCTGACATTGTCACATTCTTAATCACGTGTTTATTTTCGTGATATACACACACACACATATATATATATATATATATATATATATATATATATATATATATATATATATATATATATATATATATATATATATATATATATATATATATATATACCCACATACCAAAAGAATAGGGGTGGTAGGAGAAGAAAATATTAAAGTGTTCAGTGAGGATCCACAAGGTCTTTTTGATTATTCTTTATTTTCTTCTCCGAGGCTATGGGTCCCTACACTTGCACCAGAGGTGGTACCCCTATATATGTGTGTGTATATATATATATATATATATATATATATATATATATATATATATATATATATATATATATATATATATATATATATTAGTATATTTTGGTAGCAGTCTTTCCTGTAGACATATATTATTAAATATGACCGAAAAAGTAAGATTAATAATTCTAACACGAATTTTCTCAATGTTTCTTACATTTCTTTTCACTGTTGATGGTAACTGAAAAATCAATTCTCCAAAATTAATTTTTATTTCTAGTCTGACGCGACACTTGAGCGCGTTTCGTAAAACTTATTACATTTTCAAAGACTTTAGTTTACACACACACAACTATTACTGAACAGAGTTTAAAACAGCTTCGATTTTATACCTGCATTTGGGTGAGGTGATATGTTACAACAGTTTTGGATGAGGTGAAAACAAATTTTCAACACAAGACAGAACACGAAACAATGGGTATAATATTTTGTAAGTTAAAGGGAAGAATGGAAGTAACTGCAAAGGGCCTATTGGCCTATATTTCTTGATGCTTCTATATTGGTGCGGAGTCTTCAAGTTAATACTACGCGTTCAAGTGTCGCGTCAGACTAGAAATAAAAATGAATTTTGGAGAATTGATTTTTCAGTTACCATCAACAGTGAAAATGTAAGAAACATTGAGAAAATTCTTTTTAGAATTATTAATCTTACTTTTTCGGTCATATTTAATAATATATATATATATATATATATATATATATATATATATATATATATATATATATATATATATATATATATATATATATATGTATATATATATATATATTTGGGACCTTTCAGCACGTCACTAGTTACCTCTACCACTGGCTGAGTGATACTGGGTCTAGTAACAGACACTCCACCCTGATAGTGGAGTGTCCACCCTCCACCATGTTTACCCCCCAAACCCCCCAACTCTTATGGTGACACCATTACCTATATCACTGTCATGCTTGACACCACCACCGTAGTCACCAAGTTGAAATATTAACTAGATACGACGAGTATTCTTTGTTATTTCCTTCTGGAATTGAAATATTATTTTAGATCCGTTTCCAGATGTATCCAAAATTTAATTCAATCACATCTTGTCTTTGTGTTGTTGAAAAATTGTCCCCGACATTGAAGTGTCGCCACATTCATGAAGGAAGACACACCAAATGGCAGACATAAATTTATCTGGGTCAATAATTTTTTTGTCGTGCTTCTCTCTCTCTCTCTCTCTCTCTCTCTCTCTCTCTCTCTCTCTCTCTCTCTCTCTCTCTCTCTCTCTCTCTCTCTCTTCATCAACTCCTCGATTTACCCTGAGGTTCCGAGGACCACAGTGCGAATCCTTGTTCTAATCTAATGGTCGCGAACAATGGCTTCATTCCCTGTTCTCCAATCCAGTTCTGGAACAAGCCTTCTTGCATTTCTCTGGTCATTTTGGAATTTCACCTTGTGTTTGTGTATTTTTTTCACATGAGGATTCCATGCTGGAGCTGCATATTCGAGGGTCCGTCTTGTTTACGTTGCGTACAATGTGTGTCTTTGAAAGAGAGTGAAAGAAAGTGAAAGAGAAAGAAAGTGTCTTTGTCAAAATTTGTAAAGGCTACCATAATGTTTCCCAGCGTCACGTGTGTTGCAGACGTGATGTTATTAATGCTTTATATATTTCAAGATCTTTCTTAATCTTTGAGTAAGATGCGCTTCATGTAACCAGTATTACCATTGGAAATATCTCGTACTTGCTGCGATCTTTCCCGGTTTGGTGCCTTCTTTTGATAATTACTTACTTGCTGCGATCTTTATATTTTGCACTTTATTTATTTATATACAAGAAGGTACATTGGGTTTGTGAGAACACATAGCATAGTATTTACAATCTTGTAAAGCCACTAGTACGCGCAGCGTTTCGGGCAGGTCCTTAATCTAACAGATAATTTTAAGTAGGTAAATTCTAGCAGAATTAATAAAATGATAACAGATACATTGCAAGAAAAAAAATGAGATGAGAGAGATTAGTAAATATATTAAAGCACATTGGTATATTAAAGCTCTGATTGATTACATTTACAGCTTGATTGGTAATTTAAACACGATTAATAGACACCATAGATAATTTTGACACTTGCCAGGATAATCTAGCACCTATAGCAACCGTATCTCCGTCCATATCTAAGACATATCAAGGTGTTTCCGTAGTTTCATGCAATCTCTTTATTTTTTCCTATTCACCTCATTAGCTTAAGCTTCATTTCCAAACAGGATATATTTCAAACAGGTCCAAACAGGTTATTTATATATAACCCTATTCCTCTGCTAAGTCCACGCGGAAGTTACAGCCCCGCTCCTGTGCCAGGTAAGTCCACTACGGGCTCACCATAGCCCGTGTTACTTGGAACTTTTTGTTCCCAGTAGCTGAATCTTAAACAACAACAACATCTACCAAGTCATTAGTAATACATTAAGAACTAATGCGGATAATTGTGGTACTCCTCTCATGACAGGTTTCCTCTGTACACACAGAGATCACACTAACGTGATGCATCAAATGAACAAATATACAAGGGCCGTGACGAGGATTCGAACCTGCGTCCGGGAGCATCCCAGACACTGCCATAATCGACTGTAGCACAGGGTTATTTTTTATTTGTTTTTATATAGATATCATTATAGTCTTGTCGGCTTGGTGCTTTCTCCTGATAGTTTCCCAATGCCCATCTGTTTAATGTCAGGTACTCCTGCATCCAGTTCAGCACTCCTTCAGTCATTTACTCCAGTTTTGTTTTCAAGCTTGAGCCTTCTCTAATGCCTTTCTTGCAGTCAATGAAGGTACAGTCAATTAAACACACGAATAAACAAAATTTAATTGAACAGAATAAATGAAGTGTTCAGAAGTAAATGAACTTTAATGCTCTAACCTTTGTAATTCTGATTACGCTTAAGTTTCTAAATAAGTATATATATAAATTACAATAAATATACTTTTAAAATATATATTAATTCACCAAGACAAAAGGGGTGAGTCAATACAAAAAAAGCAAGTTCTCCAGTCCAACATTGTAGCTTCTAGACGTCCACAAGTGGCAGCAATTGATGTCAGGTTCTGAAAGAGCCAGCCTCCACCACCAAATGTTAAAATATCTTAAACCGCGCATTTTTTTTATGAAAATAAAAAAAGATCGGAGAGGAGTCTATTCTAAACTGCGTATCACATTAAATATTTACAAAGTTCATATACTGACCTTCATTCCTATCGCCTGGCGGCTCGCTTCAATCTTTCCATTATACACTTATTTATTTATTTACATACATACAAGAAAGTACATTGGGTTTATGAGAGTACATAGCATTGATGTTTTTATATTCTTGTAAAGCCTAGCATTTCGGGCAGGTCCTTAATCTAACAGATAATTTTATGCTAAACTGTAATATTTAAATGAATTAGTTTTGTTCTGTAAGGTGTGGACGGTTGTAACATCTGTTCTGTCAGGTGTGGACGGTTGTAACATCTGTTCTGTCAGGTGTGGATGGTTGTAACTTCTGTTCTATTATGTGTGGAAGGTGGTAACACTTGTTCTGTCTGATGTGGAGGGTAGTAAGACCTCTTCTGTCTGGTGTGAAGGCTGATTACACCTGTTCCGTCAGGTGTGGTAGATATTAACATATATCCTGTCACATGTGGAGGATAGCAGTACACGTGGAGGGTTGTAGCACCTGTCATGTCACGTGTGGCCTGCAGGTCTACATATAATTCTCAGTTCTAAACACAACTCTTTACATTAGTGCTTTCTGCCATTTCTACTACTTAGCGCGAGAGCTCATCTGTCAACCTGAGTGTCCTGAAATGACGCGGATATGACAACAGCGATCAACTATACATATGGCCTCTCTCCTGTACATATGATTCAGTTGATGCAGCCACATGCTCCTCTTTCAAGTTCAAGTATGTTTATAGAGACAAGAAAAAATTACATCTCAAAGGAATAGAATTATGTACCTATCTATTGTCTGGAGAATACAGCCTAGCTACATTTTGCAAACTCAAAGGGATAGAATAGCTTAGACTATTTCTACTCCCCCCTCAACTTTCAAGTCTCGCTCTTGATACTGGTAATGGCTCAAAAGGGTCACCACTTACGGGCTATTCATGCCCGTGTCACCTTTTGGGTGGCTTAATCTTCATCAATCTTCAAGTCCCTCAGTCTTGTGTTGGTAGCAGCAACGTTGTTATTGACCGTGGCAGCTGTCGGTTTCCACACCATTCTTCTCTGTAGCACATACAATTGGTCTATTACCAGATCATCATGTGAACATTCCCTAGACAATCAGGTGTGTGCTCTGATAAGTTGTGGCGTAATTGATTTGTGTCACCTCCTCGGCCAGATAGGATAAGCACGGTCTAGTTTTGCAATAAACTTTCAGTGTTTTTACCTGAAAAAACATTTGAATTTGTGTTCATACGGCGATAAATAAATAAATATGACAACCTCATAGGTGTGTGTACTCATCTAGTTGTGCTTGCGGAGGTTGAGCTCTGCTCTTTGGTCCCGCGTCTCAACTGAAGTACAGAGGCCGGATTCAGGAAGGTACTTACGAAGGTTTTTCCTCTTAGCTAAAAGCGTTTTCTGTCTTAGCGCCTTCGTGGCGGCTACGTCCGTAATCAATTAACAACCCTAAGTGGAAAAACCTTCGTAAGTTCATTCCGGGATTTAAGTGTGGTTTCGACCACTCGTAGCTTTACGTAAACTGGATATAAGTCATTTTTTCTCTACTACATAACACTGGGATCGATTTATGATATTGGAATATGACCAAAATATTATAGCTGGTGAATCTTTTTTTTTTTTTTTTTGAGATATATACAAGAGTTGTTACATTCTTGTACAGCCACTAGTACGCGTAGCGTTTCGGGCAGGTCCCTGGAATACGACCCCCGCCGCGAAGAATCGTTTTTTCATCCAAGTACACATTTTACTGTTGCGTTAAACAGAGGCTACAGTTAAGGAATTGCGCCCAATAAATCCTCCCCGGCCAGGATACGAACCCATGACATAGCGCTCGCGGAACGCCAGGCGAGTGTCTTACCACTACACCACGGAGACTGAATCTAGTGGAGAGGAGTCCTTCGTGTTAGTTATATATGCATTCTCTGCTTGAAACTTGAAGTAAATATGTGTTTGATGATAGTAGAATTAGTTTTATAATAGCAAGATATTATACCAGTAGTTATTAAGTAAATAAACACTGGTGAACATGAAATATGAGAGAAGGTGATGAGCCCTGCCTGATGGGATCATTTACTATCACCAAATGCCCCTGTTCACCTAGTAGTAAGGGTGTACCTTAGCTATACATACCCATTTCTAATTTATTTAGTTTGGTTTTATTTTGAAATTAAATCTGAGTGAGACAAAATAAAAATATGCTGCACAAATGATGTTAGGTAAGGAAAAGGGTTAAAATGTCAAAAACTTTATTCATTGAATACTTAAAGCTATAATTATGACTATATAGATTATTAAAAAAGAGAGAGGGAAGTAGGGGTCCAAGACCTCTTCCTGTTATACAATTTGGGTGTGGAACAAGTAATTATCAAAAGAAGGCACCATGCCGGGAAGGCTATGTAGCAGTAAGGCAGTGAGGTGAGGCAGCTACTTATTTGAGAAATGCTTATTTTATTTACCTTATAAGCTGAGGCAACTTATTTTATTTGAGGAATACTCAGCTGATTCCTCTACATTTAGCATGGAACAAATTTGTGTCCAAGCTAACTGAATCTAGCAGGAAGCTCTGTGTATTTCTTCGTAAGTGGGTTTGCTACGAAGGTTCCTAAGTGCGCCCTAAGAAGATGCTTAGGTGCGATTCAATAAGGTATACTTAGGAAGAAAATTGTTGGTTCACCTGCGTGCCGATAGAGGTCACTACTGTGTTTCGTTTGGCCAATCAGAGAGCAGCAACATTCTTCATATTAAAGACTTAGCGCTGGCTTATCGGAGCTCTACTGCCTCCTATTTACGTCGAATTTTCTTATAAAATTAGTATATTTCGAAGTAAAACAATGTTTTTTCAACTTCTACAGCCAGCACCGACATTGTAGTAAACAAATATGTTACATTTGTTGTTTACCTACGTAATTCTAAGAGATACTGTGTAGCTGTCCTTGTTGCTCGGAAGATGCGCTGACAATTATTGTATATATTTACTGAATTTACCCAAGGGCCACTAACTATCTAGTGACCTCGAAGAGGACAGAAAGCCGGCGGCTTGTTAAAGGGCCCGCCAATTGTCTTAATGATATTTTTTAGCTGGAATTTGGCATTTACGGCTTCAGCGGGTAGGCGGTTCCATGGGTTTATAGTCCTCTTGGTGGAAAAAAAACATCTGTTTTCAGTCCTACTTGAGAGAACATACTCTCCAACACTATATCTGTGATTGTCCTGTTATCAGTGACTTCATACCAAATGGTATGAGGTATTTTGAGCTCTGTAATTACTTCATACACTCAGGAATATTGGAAGATATTCTTGTGCTGCACCCAGATTTTGCCAGTGGAGGCTAATAGATCAGCATTAAGTATTTTGTTCTCTCCTAATTCCATGTATGACTGGCCATCCTGTGAGGTGAGGATGTTGGGTGAGCTTGTAGCTGGTTTTTGATCTACACTGTGTGGTCCTTTATACAGAATAGGGAAGCAGCACATTGCTGTGTATACCTAAACATGTTTAAAAATACATTGTTTGAGAGTTTTGTAGAAACTGGTAAGAGTAATTGTAATATAATGTTTCCATGATTCAGTGCTTACCTCTTGTGAAAATTGCTTAGAGTTGTTTAGTCAGGGTTGATTTGTTTTTTGTATTGAGGCTGGTATTTTCTAAATTGATTCCATGTACAGTATGTCTTACCATCCTGTGAGATGGGAGTATTAGATAAATTTATAGCTAGTTTTTTATCTACACTGTGTAATATTCCATATAGACTAGGGTAGCAGCACATTGCTGTGTATACCTAATCATCTTAATAAAAAAAATCAGTAATAAAGATTTTAAATTATAGTTTGTATTACAAATACAGTACTGTATTATCCTTATTAAATCATGTTGACCATGGATCATTAAGATCTCATGTTTATATGTAATACAAGTCATATTTCTTTTGAACTGCTAATCATTCATTAAATTGTGCATTGTCTCAATTTTTCACTTCCTTGGATATACTGTACAGTACAAAAAGATAGGATAAAAATAAACCAGTAATATTTCTTTCATTATATTTTTCATTTAAATAACTGCATCAATATTTTTACAGCTGACAGGATTTGTTTTCCCATACAGGTGCATTATTTGTTAAAAAAATTTGGTTTATTGTTACACACAATGGTGCTACATAGCCTTCCCAGTTTGGTGCCTTCTTTTAATACTTACTGATTAAAAAATAAATAATAAATACATTTTATTCAGGAAAAGTACATACAGTTGATTTACAAACATAATGATGGATTTATAGGCAGAGCTAGTACATAGAATACCTAAAGCCACTAATACTCATAGCATTTCGGGCAAGGTGTGGGGGAAAAAAAACACAGACTAAAACTTAATAGTAATCGGGATTAGGTATAAATTGTGTTGAAAGAAGGAATAAAAAATACATAAAGGGTGTTAACATAGCATAAATCGGCAATTGCACATGTTGGTGAACAGCGTTGTTTAAAAAATAGCAAGACATGGGTTGACATTAAGGAGGCAAGTTAGGTTACATGGAGTTAATTTGGCAGTACTTGGTTTAACTCTTAAACTGGTTGAGAGAGGTACAGCCTTTGACATGATTCGGGAGGTCATTCCACATTCTGGGTCCCTTGATTTGTAGAACACTTCTAGTTTGGTTCACACAGCCAAATTGAGTAACAGGAAGAGGTCTTGGACACAAATTTGTTCCATGCTAAATGTAGAGGAATCAGCTGAGTATTCCTCAAATAAAATAAGTTGCCTCAGCTTATAAGGTAAATAAAATAAGCATTTCTCAAATAAGTAGCTGCCTCACCTCACTGCCTTACTGCTACATAGCCTTCCCGGCATGGTGCCTTCTTTTGATAATTACTTGTTCCACACCCAAATTGTATAACAGAAAGAGGTCTTGGACCCCTACTTCCCTCTCTCTTTTTTAATAATCTATATAGTCATAATTATAGCTTTAAGTATTCAATGAATAAAGTTTTTGACATTTTTACCCTTTTCGTTACCTAACATCATTTGTGCAGCATATTTTTATTTTATGTCTCACCCAGATTTAATTTCAAAATAAAACCAAACTAAATAAATTAGAAATGGGTATGTATAGCTAAGGTACACCCTTACTACTAGGTGAACAGGCGCATTTGGTGATAGTAAATGATCCCATCAGGCAGGGCTCATCACCTTCTCTCATATTTCATGTTCACAAGTGTTTATTTACTTAATAACTACTGGTATAATATCTTGCTATTATAAAACTAATTCTACTATCATCAAACACATATTTACTTCAAGTTTCAAGCAGAGAATGCATATATAACTAACACGAAGGATTCCTCTTCACTAGATTCACCAGCTATAATATTTTGGTCATGTTCCAATATCATAAATCGATCCCAGTGTTATGTAGTAGAGAAAAAATTACTTATATTCAGTTTACGTAAAGCTACGAGTGGTCGAAACCACACTTAAATCCAGGAATAAACTTATGAAGGTTTTTCCACTTAGGGTAGTTAATTGAATATGGACGTAGCCGCCACGCAGGCGCTAAGACGGAAAATGCTCTTAGCTAAGAGGAAAAACCTTCGTAAGTACCTTCCTGAATCCGGCCCCAGGTCGTGTAACTTTTTGCACATCCTAGTCCATGGGTTAAGGTGCACATCTGTGGTTATCCACAACATTGGTTCGATCGTGCTGTCCTGCTCTAAAGATTATATCATTGATTTATCACATTGTGTACAATATCTTTATACATTTAATATTTTTTATGTTCGACATACAATACTGTGGTGTAAATACTTTCTAATGAAAGGATTCTAAATGGGAAATTGTAAACAACGCCACACCTTAGGAATGGCATGTGACTGAAAGCTTTATTGTACAGATTTTAATGGACAACAAGATCCACAGCATTCACCCTTTATTTGTGCACATGATAGGACATACATTTGTGCATAATTTGATGCAGAAATCCCATGGAAAAAGCACTGTTTGAATTTTTTAGTAATATTAATTTAAAATTATCAGTCTTGGAGGAATTCTGCATTATCTAGATGCCAAATTCATTGTACAGGTCACTGGCTAGATTAAAATCCCTATCTTGGACCAGGTTCCCATGTAGTACAAAATCCACTGAATTTATATTCAATATAGTATTGTATAGTGAATATTCTTTGCTTGAGCCAGTGAGCCCAACCACCTTACTGATACATCTCAGCGTAATACTGTAATGGGAAGGAGAGATACTGTATACAGTATAGTAACGGGAGGAACACGCAGTCAACAAGGTAGTACCGATAAAATCCTGATATACCATATAATTCAACATGACAAATGCACTATTGAAAGGAGAAGATAATTATTTATTATGGTAAAAGGTTTACTATGAAATCCAAAAGTACATATTTAACAATAATACATATAGCCTGCATTAATATATATTTTATACACTAAGTATAGTACTGTATAAACTGTTATACATACTGTACTTACAACCTGTAACTATATTTTAGAAATTCTAAATTCTGATACAGTCAAAATAAGAAATTAAGGAATGATATGTTTCCTTTGTAACCATAAAACAACAACTTTGCATAACTAAGCAAAATGGAAGAGGAGGCAGTCCTAAAAGAGGAATTAACAATTTACTGTAGAATCTGTCTTTATCCCCATGAACGCCCCTCTGATGGAGTAACCACAACTGAAACCTATTCAGGTAGCCCTATCTTAACATGCTCTTCTGATTTGTCCTCTTTCCTTTATGTCTAAGAATTATTAGCCAGCAGTAACTGGTTGGAGTTAATGTAATTTCATGATCAAAAAGATATTATGCAGTTGATGTCACCTCGAAGAAAACTATAAAATCAGTGCTAGTGACTGATAACTTTGCCTGTCATCCGATCAGGTGACAGCCTGGCTCTACTGAATGGACAGTACTGTACTGTACTCCAAAAGTCTCCCTTCCCCCATACTGACTGCCTACCATTCCACTCCCAATTCCCTTTCACTCTTCTATTTCTAACGTGGTGATCAAGTCTTCCTTTTATGTCTAATATGGAGGCTATCTACTGTACTAATGTGGTTGTCACTCGAGGATCAACTCGTATGGTACTTCATATTCCAGGATATTTCAAGCTTTGACCTTCATGCTATTGCCTTTTACACTGGCATGAATGACATGATAATGTTATGGGACAATACAAATTTGTCCATTTGTTAAAGAAAAAAAAAGACAAGCTGCTTACAAGAAACTTTTGGATGGGAAGTATAACACAAGAATTATATAGTGCAGGCTACACAAATTAAAAGATTAACAAACCAAGCCATTTTGTAACTCATGCACATCATCAAATGTTGGCACTGTTCCATATTGCACATCATAATACAAACCTGGCACCATTAGCTAGTTTATTAAAACTAAAATTGTCACTGTCATTCAGCAGTACAATTTTAATACAAGTATGGTGAGGCAATTATACATTTCCATTCAACCAAAAACAATCGATAATATAGAACTGTTTATATATTGGACCATGGAGGTGTCATTGGCTGTGGGTTTTGAAGGTAGGACATCACAACTGCAGAAATGGACAACCTGAAATGTTAATATAATTAGTAAATTATTTGTGACAAGCAAATAAAAGTATATTTGTTTAATTATGATAATTTACTTTGAAAATCAGAACTATTAGCCAGTAACAATGGGTTGGATTAATGTAATTTAAATTACATTCAATAACAAAAGACAATTATGCAAGTGTTGTCACCCTTAGGAAAATCATGAAGTCAATGCTATAGTGACTGACAAGTAAGCTCAGAAAACTACTGACAGGGCTCTCCCAAAAATAACAAATCAGAGCAAGAGAGATTGTTGAAACACAGGGAATACAGAGGACATACTCAGCACACAAACACAATAAAGTACATAAATTATTGGGACCATTTGAAGCTCCCAAAATGTACTCTGGAAAGGAGACAAGAGAGGTATCATGTACTGTATACATGGACTGAACTCCAGGTCCAAAATTTGCACAGTATTATAACATAGTGGAGCGAACAATATGGTAGGAAATGCAGAATAGCGCAAGTGAAGAAAAAATGTGCCACAGAAACAGTCATAGAACACACTATGAATATCCAGGTCCAAAATTTGCACAATATTATAACAGATGCTATACCGATGATGATACTTTTCAAAACGCTTGTGCTCTCTAGAGTGGAGTACTGCTGCACAATGACAGCCCCTTTCAAAGCTGGAGAAATTGCTGACCTGGAGAGAGTGCAGAGATCCTTTACTGCTAGAATCCACTCAGTAAAACATCTAAACTATTGGGACTGACTAAAGAGCCTAAATCTGTACTCCCTTGAGCGCAGGCGGGAGAGATACATAATAATTTACACGTGGAAAATATTAGAGGGGCTGGTCCCAAACCTGCACACAGAAATAACATCACATGAGACCAGAAGACATGGAAGGATGTGCAGAATACCCCCGTTGAAAAGCGGAGGTGCAACAAGTACTCCGAGAGAGAACTCTATCAACATCAGAGGCCCGAGACTGTTCAACACGCTTCCGCTACACATAAGGGGCATAACTGGCCGACCCCTCACAGTGTTCAAGAGAGAACTGGATAAGCACCTCCAAAGGATACCTGATCAACCAGGCTGTGACTCATACGTCAGGCTGCGAGCAGCCGCGTCCAACAGCCTGGTTGATCAGTTCAGCAACCAAGAGGCCTGGTCGACGACCGGGCCGCGGGGACGCTAAGCCCCGGAAGCACCTCAAGGTAACCTCAAGGTAAGGTAAGGTAGTGGAGCGAACAATATGGTAGGAAATGCAGAATAGCGCAAGTGAAGAATAAAGGTGCCACAGGAACAATCATAGAACACTGTATGAATATCAAAGGACCACGGCTCCTTAATATCCTCACAGCAAATAAAATAAGTATGGCTGGAACAAAAGTATTTCTTCAAGAAAAAATTAGAGTTTCCTGCAAGAAGTGCTGGACTAACTAGATTGTAAGTGGGAATATGGCCCTGCAGGCCACTCCAAGCAACAGTCTACTGGACCAAGATCTTGCACGTCATGCCTGGCCCAGGCCAGGCTTGGAGAAAAGAAATCCCAGAACCCCCTTATCCAGGTACAAATCCAGATCCAGGTAATGAAATGCCCTTTTCAGGCATGTAGTCAATCGCTCACCTCCCAGTCCTGTTCTCTTCCTTATAGAATATTTGGGGGTTCCATTTGGCTCAACGAGCGGGGATGGCAGGCTAGCTGGGACTTTAGGTGACCTGACCCACCATATGATGGTGGTCAGGCACATCATGGTTCAACCTGTCCTCTTGAAAATAACGTCGCTTTTCGTTCGAATGCATGCTATATCCAAAAATGAACGTAATTTGAAATGAAATTGGCTCACGAAAGTGACATACTGTCGCGTTTTCTCTAAGTCCTCTGGCTTACTTGGAAAGGTTAGGAGAGGAAACTTTCATTTAACGTTTTTCATAGCTTTTGAAACTTGAGGACAATTTCCTGCCCTCCTAACCTACGAGAGGACCCTTAACTTACTGTTTTGAAACAAAATCCAAAATTTATTTTAATTTTTTTATTTTTAAATTACGTCCATTTTCGGCCATATGGGCAAACGACCAAATTCAGACGTAATTTGTAAGAGGACAGGTTGCACAGTTAGGGTATTTACCCCGTCGCAATGTTTATTTGCCTTAGTACACCAGGTTTTGGCCTTGTGTAAAGTAAAGTATATGTTAAAATGTGACATGCTATGAGGACAGGTTGTACCTTTTTGGGTTTAGTAATATACAAATTTCAGAAGAAAACAAGATAAACCTTACATGAAGCTGCTGAGCATTTGTTTCGTATCGTCATTGACTCTCGAGTTGGCAAAGCTGATGCAGGAGCAGTATAGCGCAACCCAAGCACACCACTTCAACTGCAAGTAAGAAATAATGAGTTCACTATAGAGTATCATTTATAACAACAATGTCTAAAATTTCTATAATCATAGTTTTAATAATACAGTATTTGGAGGATTAAAATTCATAAAGTGAGTAGAAATCACATTCCTCAATATAAGTATTATAAGATTAAAACCCTAAATAAGAAAATGATCCAAGATAAAGTCTGATATTATTTACTTAAAACATGTACTGTACTATATATGTGAAAATTAAGCATTGAATACTGTATAATTAAACATCTTTTTCTGGTAGGCCCTTGATTTACCCATCTTCCACCAGATGACAGCCCTGAGGTTACCTGAGGTTTCAATCAACTTGCCTAAAAGGTCAACACTTCAAAAACGAAGGGTGAACAGGAGCACTGTCCAGAGCGAACGATGCACTAGAACCCCTACCCCAGCCAGGAACCAGGAGATATGGATCTACACATGGCCCAAAGCTGGATCCGAAGAACTCGACTGAAGCAGACCGAGGCTAAAATACTGCACTGCCAGCTATCAAAGATTGATCTACCTTCCCTTCCCGCCCAACCACTTGGGCTAGACAGTAGAGCGAAGGCCCATTTTTTTGCAAGCCGGTTTTCAATCCCCGACTGTCCAAGTGGTTGGGCACAATTTCGTCCCCATGTCCCATCAAAAATCCTTATATTGATCCCTTCCAAATGCTATATAGTTATAATGATTTAGTGATTTCTCCTAATAATTCCCTTCCCTTCCCTTTCCCTCCAGAAAGTAGAAAGGGTGTAAAAAGAGAGGCAAACTGCAAGGAATACAACTAAGAAGATTCCTGATGATCTAGAACTGCACGCTGGAAAGCATGACAGGCCGCATATAGTGTAAATATGCAACCACATCCCACAGCAGCAGCTCAAACTAGAGCAATGCTATCAAGGCAATCTTTGAAGACAACACAAATGGTGAAACCAGCTGGGAAGAACCCTGCTCTAAACATAATTACACCTGATCAACCAGGCTGTGACTCATACGTCAGGCTGTGAGCAGCCGCATCCAACAGCCTGGTTGATCAGTCCGGCAACCAGGAGGCCTGGTCAACGACCGGGCCGCGGGGGATGCTAAGCCCCGGAAGCACCTCAAGGTAACACTGAGAAGAGCTCCAGAGTTGCACAAAAATGGAGACCCTATGCCAAATGGATCTAAAATTTGTGGTCCAACATGATCTATTACAGTATGTACTTATCATTTTGACAATGGCATATGATAGAGCAATCATTGGCAAACAATTCCATTTAAAAATCATAATTACAGTATATGACAATTATTGGTGGTCCCAACATAACATAATGACCAGGATTTACACAAACTCAACCATTCTTGACATAAATCCCAGTAAATTGAGGGTACCGGTAGTATAGTCGAGTTCGTTCTTGACTCGCAATCTAGAATTCTGGGTTCAAATCCCAGGCAAGATAGAAATGGCGGGTGTGTATCCTATCACCTAATGTACCTGTTCACCTAGCAGGAAATAGGTACCCAAAAGTCAGTCAGCTTATTGTGGGGATTGCATACTGGGGAGGGTCAGTAATTAGACCCTAGGGATAGGGGGCAAAGGGGGGGGGGAGTTTCCTGGATACAAACCTAACATGTACTGTATGTATAACCTGGCTGCCAGTCCTCCAACACAATGAATTATTATTATTAATCAATTATTCGCAAAAAATTATTTTATGATGCGTCTTGATTATGGCATATGATACTGATCACGGATAATTTGGTATTAAAATTATAGATGTACACACACACAACTTTATTGAAACCAAACATTCAAAAAGAGAGAACTTTTTCACCAAGCTTGAGAGAGGAAATGAGGAAGGGACAGTCTCACACCCTCCCTCCCTCTTCCCCCATGCCCAGCATTCAGCCGACTGCTGTTGCTTTGTCACACTTTTGGCTCACTTCACGCTCATGCCATAAATTTTTCAGTAAAGTGAAAATGTATTTTGACTTAATTACAATCTTCGGCACAATAATTACCGAATAATGGACATCCATGTTAGTCACAAGGGTTGAGTTGACGGTTCTCCAACCTCCCCACCAGGAAGCAGCCCGTAGCAACTGTCTAACTCCCAGGTACCTATTTACTGCTAGGTAACAGGGGCATCAGGATGAAAAACATTTTGCCCATTTGTCTCTGCCTTCACCGGGGATCGAACCCGGAAACCCTAGGTTAGATAGGTTTTAACATTTGTTTGCGAGTCATCGTGTATGTGGTATGACTTGTATCTGATTTAATATGGTCTTATCTGTCAAAACTAAAAATTAAGTAAAAATCTTATATACCTTCTTGTATATAAATAAATAAATGAGCTTTGTTTAACCCTCGCCATTTCTTTTCAAACTCCAAACAAAATGGGAGTAAAAAATCATTTCAACAAGGCTAGTTTTCTGATAAAAATGTACTACTAAGTTAGACTTGGTTATGTTATATGGATTAGGTTGTTTTATCATTAATCATTATCGTTTTAAGTCTGCTAACTAAGCATCTTGTATACGTAATGACCTATACCCCCTACAGCAAAAATACCGAACTATAATACCCTAAATCCCACCCATATAGGTGTACAGACAAGTAATTCTTTAAACATCACACCAAAGCATTGTACAGAGACAAGAAAACCCATGCCTATATAAGAACGAATTGTCCATATGATGACCTACTAACTTCCTCCCCCACACACACACAGATCCTCATCATTACACAATAATAACATCTTGCACTACAATATCCCCCCTACATTCACTTACCCAACAATCTTATCCACTCTCCGTGGGTCAGAGCTGTTGTTTGACGTCTGCATTTTGAGTGGGAATGTTGCTGGCGAGCTGCTCCTGTATGTCGTCTGCTGGTCCACAACAGTGCTGGTGGAGGCCGAGGGTTCCGGGCCACGGGGACCTCGGTTGCCAGATCCAAACTGCGGTAAGTACCGAATTTGTAATAAGAGTAATATATATATATTATATATAATGTATATATTGTTAAATATGACCGAAAAGGTAAGATTAATAATTCTACCACGAATTTTCTCAATATTTCTTATGTTTCTTTTTTACTGTGGATGGTAATTGAAAAATCAATTCTCCAAAATTCATTTTTATTTCTAGTCTGACGCGAGGCTTGAACGCGTTTCGTAATAACTTGTTACATTTTCAGAGACTTTAGTTTATACACACACAACTGTAACCTGAGAACACTAAACAGTTTTACTTATGCTAGCATTAAACAGCTTGTCTTATATACTCGCATTTGGGTGAGGTGATGTGTTGCAACAGTTTTGGAAGAGGTGAACAAACTTTTGACCAACGCAGAACACGGAACAATGGGTATAAATTGGATAAATGAGAGGGAAGAATGGAAGTAACTGCAAAGGGCCTATTGACCCATACTTCCTCTTGATGCTTCTATATTGGTGCGGAGTCTTGAAGTGGGTAGAATATAGTTGTGCATCAATTGGCTGTTGATTGCTGGTGTTGACTTCTTGATGTGTAGTGCCTCACAGATGTCAAGCTGCCTGCTATCGCTGTATCTATCGATGATTTCTGTGTTGTTTGTTAAGACTTCTCTGGTGATGGCCTGGTTGTGGGAAGAGATATGTTTCTTAATGGAGCCATGTTGCTTATGCATTTTTAATTGCCTGGAAAGAGATGTTGTTGTTTTGCCTATATACTGAGTTCTTTGAGGCTTACAGTCCCCAAGTGGGCATTCGAAGGTATAGACGACGTTAGTCTCCTTTAAGGCGTTCTGCTTTGTGTCAGGAGAGTTTTTCATGAGTAGGTTGGCTGTTTTTTTGGTTTTATAGTAAATTGTCAATTGTATCTTCTGATTTTTGTCTGTAGGGATAACGTTCCTATTAACAATATCTTTCAGGACCCTTTCCTCCGTTTTATGAGCTGTGGAAAAGAAGTTCCTGTAAAATAGTCTAATAGGGGGTACAGGTGTTGTGTTAGTTGACTCTTCAGAGGTTGCATGGTGTTTCACCTTCCTTTTTATGATGTCTTCAACGAAACCATTGGAGAAGCCGTTGTTGACTAGGACCTGCCTTACCCTACAGAGTTCTTCATCGACTTGCTTCCATCCCGAGCTGTGGCTTAGAGCACGGTCGACATAAGCGTAGACAACATTCCCCTTGTACTTGTCTGGGCAGCCAACCCTATGCCCTACCAAGAACCCACCCGAAGCCGGACAGACACCCACCTGGAGCCCGAACAGTCACCCACCCGGAGCCCGACCAGTCAAACACCCGGAGCCCACAAGTTTAGTAAACCGGAGCCCGCCAGTTGAGTGAACCGGAGCCCGCCAGTTGAGTGAACTGGAACCCGTCAGTTGAGTACCTGGAGCCCGCCCCGAGCCCTACCGAGAACCCATCCCGATCCCTACAGAGAACCTGCCCTGAGCCCTACCAAGAACCCACTCCGAGCCCTACAGAGAACCCACCCTGAGCCCGACCAAGAACCTACCCCGAGCCGTACAGAGGTTCCCCAAGCCCGAGAGCCTATCCCAATCCCGAAAGAGCCCACCCCGAGCCTGACCGGGAGCCAACCCCAAACCCTACCAAGAACCCACCCCCAAGCCCACCCAAAAACCCACCCCCAAGCCCTACCAAGAACCCACCCCAAGCCCTACCAAGAACCCACCCCAAGCCCTACCAAGAACCCACCCCCAAGCCCTACCAAGAACCCACCCCCAAGCCCTACCAAGAACGCAGCCCCAATACCTACCAAGAACCCACCCGAAGCCGGACAGACACCCACCTGGAGCCCGAACAGTCACCCACCCGGAGCCCGACCTGTCAAACACCCAGAGCCCGCCAGTTTAGTAAACCGGAGCCCGCCAGTTGAGTGAACCGGAACCCGTCAGTTGAGTACCTGGAGCCCGCCCCGAGCCCTACGGAGAACCCATCCGATCCCTACAGAGAACCCGCCCCGAGCCCTACCAAGAACCCACCCCGAGCCCTACAGAGAACCCACCCTGAGCCCGACCAAGAACCTACGCC